ATCTGTTAAAAGGGAATTAGAATAACCCAGGGAATTACAGACTAGAGATGTTAATGAGTAAGCAAATGCTTATTGGATAGTCAACAGGATAGTCGACTGGTCACTCCCCCATCTCCTTGCTGCCTCTATCTGATAGAGGCAGCAAGGGTAGGGGGAGACGGGGTACTTCAAAGCGGCAGTGCCACACGGAGCCTGGGATCAGCTGTTTGGCACTGCCGCTTTAAAATGCCGTGGAGGTGTTTAAAAGGCAGCGCCGCCCTATCGACTAATGGAATGGTCGATGCAAAAATGCATCTACTATTCAATTAGGCAGTGTTCCCCAACCTTTTGGGGCTGCCACATGCCTGGGGGCAGGGCTGCACGTGCGCTGTGCACTTGGGGCCCGGAGTGCAAGAATGGCTTGGGCCGGCCCTGATCACTCGGCGGGCGCACATAAAGGCGCCTGCAGGCACCGTGTTGGGAACCACTGGATTAGGGAATTACATACTACTTAACATCCTTATTACAGACCAGTCATCTTCACTTCTATGCCCAGAGATATAATGGAACAAATAATTAAGGAATCAGTTTGCGGATATCTAAAAGATAATAAGGTGATAAGTAATAGCATGGATTTGTCAAGAACAAATCATGTCAAACCAACCTGATTACTTTCTTTGATATGAAGATAAACCTTGTGGATAAAGGGGGGAAGGATAGATATGATATATCTAGACTTTAGTAAATAATTTGATACCGTCTCACATAACCCTCTCATTGATTAAACTAGGGAAATACAACCTGGGTGGGGCTACTATAAGGTGGGTGCATAACTGTTGGGTTCATAGAGTAATTATCAATGGCTCACAGTCCTGTTGGACTGTGGGATTAATTCTGGGTCTGGTTCTATTCAATATTTTCATCAATGATTTGGATAATGGCAGAAAGTACTTTTATAAAGCTTGTGGACGATACCAAGCTGGGAGGGGTTGCAAGTGCTTTGGAGAATAGGATTATAATTCAAAATGATCTAGACAAACTAGAGAAATGATCTGTGGTAAATATAATGACATTCAACAAGGAAAATGCAAAGTATTCCACTTAGAAAGGAGCAATATGTTTCATACATACCAAATGGGAAAAGATTGTCTAGGAAGGAATGCTACTGAAAGGGATCTAAGTGTCCTAGTGGACCACAAGCTAAATATGAATCAAAAGTGTGACACTGTTGCAAAAAAGCAAACCTCATTCTGGGATGTATTAATAGGAGTGTCATAATCAAGACATGAAAAATAATTCTGCTTTACTGCACAATGATTAGTTCTCAATCGGAATACAGGCAGTCCCCGGGTTACGTACAAGATAGGGACTGTAGGTTTGTTCTTAAGTTGAATTTGTATGTAAGTCGGAACTGGCGTCCAGATTCAGCTGCTGTTGAACTGACCAGCAGCGGCTGAATCGGACACGCCTGGGGCAGAGCAGCTGGGGTGCTGCTGGGTTGGTCCCGTAGTGCCGCTCCTCGGCGCCACTGGACCAACCAGGCAGCGCCCCAGGTGTTCCCAAGTCAGCCGCTGCTGAAACTGACCAGCGGCTGACTACAGGAAGCCCGAGGCAGAGTTGCTCGGAATCAGCTAGTGCGCCCTCCCCCCTCCCCAGCAGACCAGTGAGACACGGAGCGGCTTTTCTTGCCGCGGAGGACACGGGTCTGCTGGGGGGAACAAGACACCAGCCAAAAGGGGGCACCCCAGAGCGGAAAAATTAATTTCCTAGGGAACAGCAGGAGCAGCAGGCAGTGAGACTCATTGTGTTACAGTCCCCACCTTGGGAGCAACAGCTTTTTCCCTCTTCAGCACTAGAGCTGCAAGTATCTTGTTAGCGTCGCGTGAAATTAACAAGTCCCTTCCAGCCTGGCAGAGGTGAAGCTGAAAAATTAACCAGTGGTGTGGGTGGGCAAGAATGGGGAGGAGCAGGACAGAAGGGAAAAGGGGATAAGCCCCAACCCCACACCCTGGCTGGGCGGCGGGACCGCGGCACGTCTGGGTGGTCCCACCGCCCGCGTCCTCCGCGACGAGAAAAGCCCCGTTCGTATGTAGGGATCCGACATAAGTCGGATCCACGTAACCCGGGGACTGCCTGTACGGTGTCCAGTTCCTGGGTACCACATTTCATGAAAGATATGGGAAAATTGGAAAAAAGAGGGGGGAAAAAACATTAACAGTCTAGAACAGTGGTGTGCAACCCGTGGGCTGTCTTCTGGGAGGGTCGCAGTGCTGTAATTCGGGCCGGACGGTATTTTCTTTTCCCGGCTCGCTGTCCAACATACACAGGGTGAGGGGAGCGGCAGGGGGGCGGGTCAACCAAATTTTTCCTGGGGGTTGCGAGTGCAAAAAGGTTGTGCACCAGTGGTCTAGAAAACATGACCTATGAGGGAAGATTGAAAGAATTGGTTTGTTTAGACTGGAAAAAAAATACTGAGAGGGGACATAACAGTTTTCAAGTACCTAATAGGTTGTTACAAGGAGGTGAGAGAAAAATTATTCTCCTTAATCTCTGATTTGACAAGAAGCAATGGGCTTAAATTGAAGCATGTGTGGTTTAGGTTGGACATTGGGAAATACTTAACTGTCAGGGTGGCTGAGCACTGGAATAAATTGCATAGGGAGGTTGTGGAGTCTGTTGTTAGAGGTATTTAAAAGCAGGTTAGACAGACACCTGACAGGGATGATCTACACAGGGTGCTTAGTTCTGCTATGAGTGCAGGGTAGTGGACTTGGTGACCTCTTGATGTCCCTTCCAGCTCTATGATTTTGTGTCTTAAATCTATCATATGTGGTTTAGTCTCTCTTCCGTCCTTTCCCTGAGGGGATTATTGTGTGCAGGGCACTATTTTGTCTTGGTGAGGTCGGTTTCCATATTTGTGTTTTGTTTTCTTTTTTTTTTTTAAATATATACTCTGGCCTGAGTATGTTAGGAAAGGCATCTCAGAGCAGCACACCTTGCAGTTGGTACGAGAGATGGAAGTTCTAAATCAGTGGTTCACAAACTTTTTGGCATCATGCCCCTTTCTTGATTTTTGAAAAAACCCTCACGCCCCTCCTGCCGAAAAAAAAAGGAACTGAGCGGGGCAGCAAAACTTGATGCGGAGGGGGAGGGGAGGAGGCTGGATCGCCTCGCGCCCCCCCTGGAATTTCTTCACACGCCCCCAGTTTGGGAACCCATGTTCTAAATGGACCTCAGTTACTGGGGTGAATCTTTTCAGTTTCAGACTGGTCTCTGAAGGTGCATCTACAAAGCACCCTAAAGTCAAAATAAGATACGCAATTTGTGCTATGCAGATTCAGTATCTTATTTCTATTGAATTTTGAAATAGGCTATTTCGAAATTTGGTGCATCTACACAGCGCCAAATTTTGAAATAATGTGCTATTTCCAGACATCCCTTAACCCTTGCGCAACGAGGGTTACCAGGATGCCAAAATAGCACGTCCATTATTTCGAAATAATGGGTGGCTTATTAAGAAGCGAGGTAGCTATTTCAGGATACCTCTGGTATCCCGAAATAGCTGTGCAGTTTAGACGTACCCTGAGAACTCTGTCTCCTGGAAGAGGAGTTCTACCCTAGAAGTAAAAGGTTCTGAATACTGGGCTGCCTGAATCACTGACACAAGCCAGTGTGACAATTCCTGTGATCCTGTGGTTAGGAAGGAAGAGTTGGGTAAATATCTGCTAGTGAGGCCCTGAAATCAAACAGGATTTTAAAACTAATCAATATCCTCCTAAGAATGTTGCATCTCACTTCAGAAACACAATAAAGAGATGATTTTTCTGCTGCTGTAGCAATGGCAATTAAAGCAGAGCCACGAGCATAATTGTATTTACCAGTGCAATGGCAAACCCAAACACCCTGAATTTTGAAGTTCAGACTTACAGCAGGCCCTGAGCTTTCTTATATCTATCACAGATCTCTCCCATGGCCTCATTACCAGGGCTTGACAAATAATACAATCTACTCACTCGTGGCGAGTAGATTGCAACCCGGAAGAGCCGGGTTCGGGCGATCTGCACATGCGCAGAACGATCTGCGCATGTGCAGATCGCCGGACAGCGTGGTTTGGCGAGCCCTGCTCATTACAACAGATGTATCATCTAACTACAGAGCTGGTTCCAAGGTCAGGTTTGTGGCCTCATAGAGGTTTCCAGGAATCATAAGACAATCTTAACTCTTCATTAGTGAACAGGAGTTTCCCCTTAGTTTACAACAAGAAGTCCTGTGGCACCTTATAGACTAACAGAATTATTGGAGCATAAGCTTTTGTGGGCAAAGACCCTCTTTGCTCACTGAAGCTTATGCTCCAATAAATCTGTTAGTCTGAATCTGCGTAAACAAGAAGTCCTGTGGCACCTTATAGACTAACTCGGCTACCCCTCTGATACTTGTCCCTTAGTTTACTATCTTACCTCCTGATGAGTGCACAGCAATCTCTTTGCTTGGTGTGATCTGAACTGCTGGGACTTGAAGGGCTCCCTTGTACCTCAGGCTGCAATTTCATCAAGGATAGAATATTTAAACTAGTGTGTTGATTGTTTGTATTATGGGCACTAGTGGAGACTGAGCCCCTACTGATGAGCTGTACTTAAACATAGGGTATGTTTACACTGCAAAAAATTGAGCTAATCCAGCTGGGCATTTGATTAGAACCCAGGTTCTAGTCTCATTTGAACTACTAACCTGCCCACTTGGCAGTGAGAATGCAAGCTAAATCACTTAAATGCTGGCTTTTCTCACGTATTGGCTCCTGTCTGCCCCTGCCCCCCTCCCCCAAGCTGCTGCCTCTGGAGCCAGTGCTTGTGGGGAGACTGCTTAAAAGCCAGCTCCCCATGAGCACAGGCTCATCAGTTAACCATTTAAATATATATATACTTAGCACATCCCTACTTCTTGTATTGAAGTCTTGGTTGTCATGTACTGGTTTCTTAGGTTCCCCGCCTCTCTTACAATGTTTCTCTTTTCTCTGCCAACAGTGCAGGTTCCCAGCTCGTGTTTGTACCGTCACTGAGAGATGTGCACCATGACTACATATATCCACAGCCGCCTTTCACCTGCTATGATCTGTCTAAAGATGACAAACAGGTAACTTCCTAGTAGTCGCTGACTACTTTCTTTGTTTACTTTTCCTTTAACTAGCTCATGAAAGAGAGAGAGAGAAAGTGACTGACAAGTAATTAGCTGGTTAGGCAGAGCAGAAATCTGAAAAAAAGTCTCATGTTTTAACCCAAACAGGATAGTGGTTAAGAGTAAAGTGGATTTGGTCAGTTGCTGCACAGCCTGTTTAAAGTTTAAAAGTCCTTTTGGTTCCTTGAAATACAATGCTTAGCACAGGCATAAGCCAAGATTTCCAAAGCGAGCCAATGTTTTTTGGGTCCCCAACCTGAAACATTTTCCCCAATTCTGACACATCATGTTTCAGCTGAGCAATAGTAGTTGTTGGAGAGGCAGTGGAAGTCTGTTTCCCACTGCAGGAGAAAGTGACTTTTAATCTAGGTATATTTATTTACACACATACACAGTCCTGACATGAGGTGGTCAGCTAGCATGCAGGGTAGTTCTTTCTTTCGGGAAACTTAGCCCAAAACCAATCCTGATTCTCAGGGAGCAAGCAAGTAGTTGACTCTAAGCAGAGTCCAAGGCAGAGAGCAAACTTTCTTGCAGCTCCCTCTCACTGAATGCTGATGTTCACCAAAAAAATATACAAACCAAATTAAAAAACCCCTTGCATAACCCAAAACCTAATGCTTTTGTAAGTGTCAAAGCTTGTTCAGACTCTAAAAACTTGGAAGACTATGCAACAGCACCACTGGAAGTACAGGGCTCTCACACTGTGAAAATCAGGTCCTTTAAAAGTATTGCTAAGGGAGCCCTAAATCTCACTAGTCACTTCCGGGGGGAAATCTGGCTCAGTTTTATTATTTCTCTTCTCTCAGTGCTCAGCCTTGGTGGGATTCTCACTTCTGCATGGATGCTAAAAGGCAGGTCCCTTACTCATTCTGTGGTCTGGTACAATCAGTGGGTAGCAAAAATGAAGGACTTCAGTCTGTTGGGGAAAGATGCACAGAACAATTGAAAGCATAGAACAAAAATGTATAGAAGCTAGAAATGGGAAAAGCTTCATCAGATTATCTGCCCTCTTGTAAATTCAGAGCTGAATCTTTAGTCGGAGACCAAATTGAAAGCAGAACGGGCTATGCTGCTTTTTACTCCTGTATCTAAGACCCTAGACCATGTGGCTTTTTAAAACACTCAAATATACCCCATGAGGAAATGAGTAGGAAATGAAATACAAGGTGACAAACTATCTCTGTGCTTGTTGCCAGGAAATCCACATCACTTAACTCTGCGTGACTAGGGAGGTGGGGAATTGTGAAATCAGGCATACAGCTGTGAAACTGCAATGAGCTGTATGTTAGTCATACTGCTTTACAGAGAAAGTTTCTGCTTAAGGCTTGTCTACGTGGGAAAAATATTAGAGTAAGAAAGGGTGTGAATTTAAACCACAATAGTTGTGCGGTATAATTCTTAGTCTGCAATGAGTGCCTTTCTCATTTTAGTGCATTTCACTTTTAAAATTGGATTAAGCTAAAATAGAAAAAGGCACTCATCTCGGAATAGGAATGCCCATACAGGGAATCTGATACAATAGCTATTCTGGTAATTTTTCCTCTGTAGACAAGACCATAAAGAGGTAAGATTCTCAGTAGTGTATCGAGAGGCAAGGTTATTGCTTGATTAAGCCCCAAGACAATCACTAAAGATTTTTAAAAGTTTCCCAGTGGAAGAGGTTGTTGCTTTCATAAAATAAAACTACTATTCTTCCCCTCTGAATTCCCCACGCACCTCCATCTATTCAGCTAAATAGCATCTTCAGTAGTGCCTTTCATGACTGTTCCCCACTAAATTGCGTTTAACGTGGTCCTGCCTCGTGCGGTGTCAGACTGCCACACCTCAGTTTCCCTTCTTCCCCAGTCAACAAAACTGCCCCAACTGGAGCTTTTGAAGTACTCTTACCCTTCTGGGCTCTGGTTTATTAACATAAAATAACAGTTTGACTCTAAGCCAGGATCTCTGAGCCTTCTCTCGTTGGGCTCCAGAATGCCCTTCTCTGCTGCTATTCTCCTCTCGACATTTTTTTCCAGCCTGTCATGCAGGTAGCTTTAGCCAGGCCTTTCCTTCTAGCTGTTACAGAAAGCTGCTTCTTCAGTCCTTCCCAAGCCTAGCTGTCCTTTTGGAGCTGTTTACTCTTTAAGCAGAGTTCTGCCAGGTCTATTCCAGACTCTGGCAAGACCTCCCATAGTTCCCTAGCCCTTGATCTCCCTCTTTCTGATGGAATATCCCCCTCCCCAGCTACCATCCTGTGAGGCCTGGTCACCTACCTAACCGTGGGCCCAAATTCAAAATCATCACTTGGAACTGGAAGACAGGTGGGGCCCAACTCTCCTGAAAGGACCAGCTCATCCTGTTCATAAACCCATTTATTTAGCTTGCGGATGTTGATACAGTAACAGCTGAATCCAAAGTTCATTTTGGCCTTTCCTTTCTCATTTCAGCGAGTATACTTTGTGTCCGACCCCTGTACTCTGGCAATAAATGGAGTCATTTTTGGCCTGACTTCTACAGATCTGCTCTTCCATATGGGTGCTGAAGAGATTAGCAGGTATGTGAGTTTAGAACAAGCTGTGAAATGTTAGGGTAAATGGTTTCTTGGAAAGTCCTTCTTAGTTTTAAACAGAGACCAGCTGTGGGGTCGAATGCTCATATATTTTGATTGAAAATATTTGGTTACCTTTACCAGACCATAATACAGCAAAAGCTTGCAGAGAAAGTGAAGGACACTGGGTTAAATGGATATTGAGATGGGGAAAAATCATGGGACAGGTCAGCAGCTGGTGACAGTTGGTGTAGCCCTGTTGAAATGGTCTCAGGTATGTTAATTTACACTACCTGTGAGTCTGACCCTGTATCTGACGGATGTTGGTGGTTCACATTATGCTAAAAGTCTCTTAAAAACAACTAATTTATTAATATGTACCCATTTTGTTTAATCTCTAGCACCTTATTCAGCAGCCAATTAAAACAGCGCTGGATTTTATTGTGTTGTCTGTTACACTTCTGGGTTGTCCTGCCTTGTAATGCAATAATTGCATGCAAGGAAATCAAGACTTGAGTAATACTCATGAAAGTGCTAGTGATACTGAACAGCTGCTTTGCCTGTCTGTGAAACAAGCCTCTTTGCAAGGTGTTTCCTTAATTCTAATTTGCAAGGTCCTTTGATCTTCAAACCTAGAGCACAGACTGAATCAGCCACTAAAATGGTGGAGCTTCACCTGTGCTTAGAGCACTGGCACTTGGAAGAACGTGGGTGCTTCTGTTCATAGCTCTGCCCTGATCTGCTTTGTGACCTCAGGCAAGCCTCTTCCCCTTTCTGTGCTTCATCCACCCTTAGCTTTTAATTCTAAGCTCTTTGAGACCTAGACTGACTCTCTGTGGCTGTGCAGTGCCCAGTACGGGGGTGGGAAAACCAGCCCATCTGACCTTGCATTCCAGCCCTTGAGTTCCTGCTGGGGAATGGGGTTGGTGGCTTGCCCTATTCTGCACATGTTGTGGCTCTGTACAGCTCCTGGAATCAGGAATAGCCAGGGGACTTTGCACACTGCCCCCATCCCAAGCTCTGGTTCTGCAGCTCCCATTGCCTGGGAGCTGTGGGTGCAGTGCCTGCAGATAGGGGCAGCACGTAGAGCCATCTTGCCAGGCTGCTTCTGGGAACTGCTTGAGAGAAACTCTTCCTGGAGCCTGCACCCTGAGTCCTGATCCCCCTCCTGTCCTCTGAATCCCTTTATCCCAGCCCAGAGCACCCACCTGCACCCCAAGCTGGAGCCTTCATCACATCCTGCACTCCAACGCCCGATTTTCATGAGCATTCATGACCTGACATATACTTTCTATGCAGAGATGTGTACCTCCAGCCAAAAAGTTTGCTCACTCCTGCCCCAGCACAGGAAGGCCCAGGCTTCTAGGCTGTACTGTACTACAGCAACTGTAAATACATCTGTGATTAAAATCCCAGGGTAAACAAAGCCTATACTGACTTGTGTCCTTTTTGTTCTGTCTGTGGTGTTGTGTTAACTCCCATCTGTGTAATCATGACTGACCAGACAGCAAGATTCCAGCCCTCTCATGGTATTTTGCTGCAATATAATTGTTCTGGGGGGAAATTGTTATTGACCATAGCTAGGCATTTTTGTCTAGCTTTGGTGGTTGAACTCCTGTCATACACGGTGGAGAGAAGGAACATTTGAAGGTATTCACATGTTAAGTTGGATGGGTGTATGCTTGTTGGCCAGAGCCATTCATGTGTTTGGGTCCTGGGAGTGAAATGCTTGATTTCCCAGTACTGTGGGGATTCCAGTTCTCTTGCACAAATTGGTGGGGGTTTTTCCTCCCATTAATGTCCCATAACATTGCTTATGGCTAGGGGGTGTAGAGAGACAACCTGGGGAGGAAGGAATGTGTGTATAGTGGCCACTGTTTACTTCCCCATGCAAGTACCATACATGGAGTGCCTTCTGGGACAGGGTGACCACATGCAGCTCTTCTCCCTCCCTCCCCTGACCCCAAAGTGCAGCTTGCAAAGCCACCCCTGAGCCTTCCCCAACGGCCCCTGGCTCCCCTGTGCTCACCGGCGCTGCCTCCTACCCCCAAGATGAACGCTGCGCTGATACTATCTCCAGGGACAACGGAGGTAGCACGGGCTTCCTGCGGGGTGGGAGGGAGTTCTGCAGCTGCGCACCAGGTCCCAGAAGTACATGGGCTGCTCTCCTCCTCTTCCCTTTACCCCCTCCCCCCAACAGCCATCATTGTACCTAAAATGCTGGTCCGTTGTACACTGCGGACTTGGTTCCCCTGCTGCCTTCCTGCACGAGGGTGTGGGAGTCCAGGACTGCGCAGGCTCCGGCTGCTCTGGTGGTGCGCGCTGCCATTGGAAACTTCCCGAGCGTTTGGGGCTGGCGCGATCCAGGACTCCCCCTCTCCCCGCGCGGGAAGGCAGTGGGGGAATAAAGTCCCATCTTTTTTTCCCTCAACAACTCACCCCCACCCCAGTACGTGGCTCTTTGCACTCGGTCCACCACTATTTTGGCTCTTTGTCTCTAACGGGTTGGCTACCCCTGTTCTGGGAGGATGTTAGGCATTCCGTGCTGCTGCACTTTTAAGTAGGACACTGATTTGAGCAGCTGTAGGGTATGTCTACACTGCAGCTGGGACTCCCAGCCAGAGGTGATGGACGCATGGCACATGCACCCCCAATGCCGTGAGCAGAAGGGGCAAGAGGGCAGTGTTACTCCGGGGAGGGGTGGAACAACCACCATCCCTGCTCACTGGCAGGAAGTGGAGCAATTGCAGGTGGGGGAGCAGAGTGAGCTGGGACCATGTTGCTCTACCACTGCAGGGGGAGCAGATCCCAGTCCCACTAATCCCCAGCCTGTATTGGTCGGGGGGTGAAGAGGCAGGGCAAGAACGGAGCAAGTGTGGGGAGAGAGCAAGGCAGGCCTTGGGGCAAAGGGAGAATTGGGGGGGATCACATGGCCGATGAGCCCTGTGGGTCCCACTTCACGAGTCGCCCCTGCTCCCAGTCCAGGTAGAAAGACTCATGCTAATGCACTAAAAGTAGCAATGTGGGTGTCCTGACTGGCTCTCTAACCTTCCCAGCTCCCTGCAATCCACACTGAGCCAATATGTCCATATTGCTATTTTTAGTGCTCTGGCTTGAGCCCTGCTACCGGTAGCTTGAGCCTCACTAGCAAAAATCTGCCTACCCAGGGAGGCTCACTCCTAGTTGTAGTGGTCTTTTCTGTGATTGCCCTTGAATGAGTTGAGTTAAGCTAGTGTAAACTACTGGGTGGATACTTCTTTAAGTGCAGCTTATTTTGATCTAGTAATTCCTAGCTTTTTATGTGGCACTCAGCATTAGTGACCTCTTAGCATATTACAAACTATTATTATCCCCATTTCACAGATAGGAAAACTGAGGTACAGAGAGACGTAATTTATCCAAGGGCCATGAGCCTACTGGATGACAAGCTAGGGTTAGAACTGAGGTCTTCTAAGCTCCATTAGGTCCCAGTGCCTCCCTAAACTTAAGTGCTTTGTCTCTACTATGTTGTTACAACAAGACTGCTAACACATTATTTTTCCATTGATAAAAACAGACCTCTTTTTCTGAGTGAAGGCATAGCTAAAACCAAGTAAGTCTAGCTTAAATTTAAGAAAAGTGTGTCCATATAGTCCTTTATACCAGTATGACTAAATGGGTTTAAAATAATTCCTTAAGTTAAACTGGTATGAGCACACAGACAAGCTCTAAGGTACTGAATGTGCATGTATGCGCACATACATTCCTCACTGACCAGCTTAAACAACTCCACACACTCCTTGGTGTTTACAAATACTTGACAGCATTTATCATTATCTCCCCTACCCCCATAGTCGTCCTCTAGTCAAGACCTGCATATTTTCTTCATGTGAATCTTCCCTCATAAATTATTCCCTCTAGCCCTTTGGTTGCTTCTCTCTAAATTCCTGCTAGTTAACTGCTGTCTCTGAAACCCAACACGGAACTCTGGGTTTGTGTAGTATCCAATCCAAAAGGTGATGCCCCTGCAAATGCATCCCTAAACCATTCTGATCAAATCTAGCCTTGAATAGATTGCCCATCTCCATGGTCTTATCTCTCCTGGTTACAAAGCAGTTGAATAGCTTTGTTTTGGGGAAGGATTTTTGAAAAACTGTAGCAAGAGGACTTCTTGGAATAAAGACTTGGCTGGATCTAGTGTGGCTTAGGGGATAGGGCATTGGACAGAAGGAGGTCAAGAAAACCATGTTTTAATCATGGCTCTGCCAATGACCTTGAAATCCCTTCCCCACTCTGTGCGTCCATGTTCAACTCTCACTCTGTCTCGTTAGACTGTAAATTCTTTGGGGCAGAGCCTGAGGCTATCTTTTATGCTTACTGGGTACAATGCCTCGCATGCTGTAACTCCAAATTCAGTTGTGGCTTCTAGGGACTACCATAATACAAATCTTAGCAGAACTTTAGAAATGTGGAGCTAGAATAAGCTACTGAAACTCCTGCATTATCCTCAGTGTTCCTTTAATTAAGCATGCACTCTTTGTTTCCTTGCAGACTCTGTTTCATTGGCATCCAGCCTGCCAAATAAAACTTGGATGGCATTTATTCTCAAGGCGTTTTTCTCCTAGCTGCAGCATGTTACGATGTGTTCACAAGTCAAGTGTCTGTTTTAAATTAGAGAACTTTATTTTAATGAGAGTCTGAGGCTCTTAACAGAATGTAAAAACAAAGTCAAACTTGTTATGTTTAGCTGGTTTAACTGCTATTATTATTTTGTACTAGAGTAATGCCTACTGGCCTCAGCAAAGATCAGAGCCTTGGTTTTTTGTTCCTTGCACGAAATCTTACTATGTGGTCACTGGCCCTGAAGAATTTTACAGTCTAAGAAGACCAGATTGACAGAGTGAGAGAAAGGAAAATGTATTATCCCCATTTTAAAGATTTGGAATTGAGGTATAGGCTAGGTGACTTGCCCAAAGTAACACCATAAGTTTGTGGCTGAGCTGGGAACTGAATCCAGATATGTCCTACTCCAGTGCTTTAACCACAAGGCCATCTGCTCGATAGAAAGCAAATAAATTATCTTCTTAAGAAACATGACCCCCCCCCTGTTTTTTGCAGCTAAATTTTGGATGTTTTTCTTAAACAGCTCTTCTGGTGTCTCAGACCGGTTCACTCGAATCCTTAAGCATGTCCTAACACAGAGAAGGTAAGAACAGTTTCTGGATTTAGAGTTAATCAAAAATCCTTGTCCAAGTGAAAGTGCCTGACATTGGGCATTCTACTCTGGTGCCAGCATTTTGTGTAATCATTTACATAAGTGGAGAGTGGTATAAAAGTACCACCATTGTGACTCAGTAGTGTTCTATACCTGCCCTGGGCTGGTGTAGATGAACGCATAAGATTCATAGGCATTAAGGCCAGAAGGGACCATGATGATAATCAAATCTGACCTCCTACTTAATACAGGCAGACTTTCCCAATAATTTCTGCATTGATCCTATAACTTTTGCGCTAGAGCATATCTTTTTAGAAAGACATCCAGTCTTGATTGAACGACTGTTCCAAGCGATGGAGAATGCGAAGTCCCTGGTTAAGTTATTTCAGGAGTTAATTTTATGTTACTGTTGCAAATGTGTACCACATCTGTAGTCTGAATTTGTCTAGCTTCAATTTCCAGCCACTGGATTTTGTTCTGCCTGAGGCATAGTTATGGAGCATTAGGCTTTCAGTTTCATTTTTGAACAACTTTCTGCTTCTGTAAACAGAGGCACTACTCATAGCGCAACTCACTAGCCTTAAGATCCTGGAGAAATGGGGCTGATGCTTGTTCACCTGGCTGACAGCAGGTGAGGAGGATGGGGCAAAAAGATGGCTGTATTTAATTGTAATCAATAATTGATCCATACAGTTATTACCCACTCTACCCTCCCTCGGAAGAGATGAACATTGATTATGAGAACTTCTATAATTATGTACCTTGGCCAGTCACCCCGGATATCCTCATTACTCCATCTGAGCTGAGATATTTTGTTAAGGTAAGCTGGGAGCATAAAAACATTTTGTCTGGGATTTTCAGTGAGGCCTAGGGAGTTATACACATATTTGTCGCTGGAATTCATTGGGAAGTGGCTGCCTTTGAGAATCCTAGCCTCCGTAAGGAACTTGACCTACGAGAAGACCAAGATGAGAGGTAGGAATGGGGCTCTGATCTGTTAATGCCATTTCTGTGCTCTCAATGCCAAACATTGGATAGAATTTTCAATAGTGCCTAAGATCCATTTTGTAGAAGTGACAAAGTTGCATTGGTTTTCAGAAGTGTCCAGGACACTGAAGGATCTAAGTCACTTGGGTAATGGGTCTTAATCTCCTACTCATGAAAGCAGGTTTGAAAATTTTACTCAACTAATCTGTAAGAGTGGACTTGATCATGTTCCAGATCAGAATAGGCCCAGCCTATCTTCCTCTTTCATTTGACAAGCTAGTTTTTTTTTTCTCATCCATAGATGAGAGAAAGTATTTATTACTGTAACTCCCTCTCTGATTGCAGAGAAGGGATTAGTTGTCACAGCAGTATCCCTAGCCTTCAGTGTACAGCCCTCTTCCGGCTTACGAACCGGTTACGGACCAAGCAATTGGTTGCAACTTGGTTTGTTCGTAAGTTGGACCCCATAGAATTACATGCGACTGCGCTGTTTGTAAGCGCGGATCACGTTCGTAACCTGGGGTCTGCCATTTACAACAGTTTTGCTTGTAACTGCAAACGGTCGTAAGTCAACCGTTCGCAACTCAGGGATGGGCTGTAAATGTTTTTGAGGTTGTGGAGTAACTTTTAAGGAGTTACAGTGGGAGCAATGAGAGCCTTGTTGCCTCCTTGCCTCTGAAATTAACCTCTAGACAGGTTAAAGAGCTTAGCAGGATTCCAAAAGGATTAGGGCATTTATGTGGATAGCAGGAATCCCTAGAGTTACAGAAGTAAGGATAAAAAAATAGCCAAACCTCCTGCAGCAGAACATAACCATCTCTAACTCCCCTTATGAGCAGATGATGCCATAATTACAGGGTTTCTTTCAGGTTTTTTTCTCTAAAGCTTTTGGTATTGGCAGTGTCAGATACTGTACTGGGTTAGAGGGATACACTGGTCTGATCCAGTCTGGCAGAGGAGCTGTTAAAAGCACAAAATCAGCCTTGTGGTTTGCAGCTGCTGTAGGGCTAAAATTGTTGAAATATTATTGGAATGCAGCAGCCCAACTGGAACTTGCTGTCTTGTGAGGCAGTATAGTTCAGTATCAAGGCACGCACTGCCCAAGTGGTTGGGTCTGGCACAGTCTGGGACTCCCCCTCCCTACTTCCCCCATGTGGGAAGGCAGCAGGGGAATAAAGTCACTAGCACACCGACTCCATCTCCTCGGGTGGCAGGTGCTGCCATGGGGAGTGGAGAAGCAAGGCATGCACTGCCCCAGTGGTTGGGGCAGGAGTGGTCCAGGACTTACCCTGCCCCCGTGCAGGCAAGCATCAGGTATGCGATGGACCAGCGTTTCAGGTACCGCACCGCTGTTTGGGAGACGGGGGAGCAGCCCATGCACTTCCTGGGCCTTGGTGTGCAGCTGCAGGATCCCCAGCTACCAGTCCCTGTCCCCTCCCCTCCACCCAGACCCCCACAAGTTCCCTGCCCCAGCATCCACCAGCACCCTGTCCTCTGCCCCAGCACCCACAAGCACCCTGCCCCAGCTGAGCCTGCATCCTCTTCTCTATTTCCTCCTGCACAAAAATTCCCTCCCAGACCTTGCACCTCTCACCTCTTCCCAGTGCTTTTTCTGTGATGGTATGCCCTGGGATGGTGTACCGGCACCTATTTTCCCCCGGCGCATCTTTTTTTCCCTCAACAACTCACCCCCACCCCAGTACGTGGCTCTTTGCACTCGGTCCACCACTATTTTGGCTCTTTGTCTCTAACGGGTTGGCTACCCCTGTTCTGGGAGGATGTTAGGCATTCCGTGCTGCTGCACTTTTAAGTAGGACACTGATTTGAGCAGCTGTAGGGTATGTCTACACTGCAGCTGGGACTCCCAGCCAGAGGTGATGGACGCATGGCACATGCACCCCCAATGCCGTGAGCAGAAGGGGCAAGAGGGCAGTGTTACTCCGGGGAGGGGTGGAACAACCACCATCCCTGCTCACTGGCAGGAAGTGGAGCAATTGCAGGTGGGGGAGCAGAGTGAGCTGGGACCATGTTGCTCTACCACTGCAGGGGGAGCAGATCCCAGTCCCACTAATCCCCAGCCTGTATTGGTCGGGGGGTGAAGAGGCAGGGCAAGAACGGAGCAAGTGTGGGGAGAGAGCAAGGCAGGCCTTGGGGCAAAGGGAGAATTGGGGGGGATCACATGGCCGATGAGCCCTGTGGGTCCCACTTCACGAGTCGCCCCTGCTCCCAGTCCAGGTAGAAAGACTCATGCTAATGCACTAAAAGTAGCAATGTGGGTGTCCTGACTGGCTCTCTAACCTTCCCAGCTCCCTGCAATCCACACTGAGCCAATATGTCCATATTGCTATTTTTAGTGCTCTGGCTTGAGCCCTGCTACCGGTAGCTTGAGCCTCACTAGCAAAAATCTGCCTACCCAGGGAGGCTCACTCCTAGTTGTAGTGGTCTTTTCTGTGATTGCCCTTGAATGAGTTGAGTTAAGCTAGTGTAAACTACTGGGTGGATACTTCTTTAAGTGCAGCTTATTTTGATCTAGTAATTCCTAGCTTTTTATGTGGCACTCAGCATTAGTGACCTCTTAGCATATTACAAACTATTATTATCCCCATTTCACAGATAGGAAAACTGAGGTACAGAGAGACGTAATTTATCCAAGGGCCATGAGCCTACTGGATGACAAGCTAGGGTTAGAACTGAGGTCTTCTAAGCTCCATTAGGTCCCAGTGCCTCCCTAAACTTAAGTGCTTTGTCTCTACTATGTTGTTACAACAAGACTGCTAACACATTATTTTTCCATTGATAAAAACAGACCTCTTTTTCTGAGTGAAGGCATAGCTAAAACCAAGTAAGTCTAGCTTAAATTTAAGAAAAGTGTGTCCATATAGTCCTTTATACCAGTATGACTAAATGGGTTTAAAATAATTCCTTAAGTTAAACTGGTATGAGCACACAGACAAGCTCTAAGGTACTGAATGTGCATGTATGCGCACATACATTCCTCACTGACCAGCTTAAACAACTCCACACACTCCTTGGTGTTTACAAATACTTGACAGCATTTATCATTATCTCCCCTACCCCCATAGTCGTCCTCTAGTCAAGACCTGCATATTTTCTTCATGTGAATCTTCCCTCATAAATTATTCCCTCTAGCCCTTTGGTTGCTTCTCTCTAAATTCCTGCTAGTTAACTGCTGTCTCTGAAACCCAACACGGAACTCTGGGTTTGTGTAGTATCCAATCCAAAAGGTGATGCCCCTGCAAATGCATCCCTAAACCATTCTGATCAAATCTAGCCTTGAATAGATTGCCCATCTCCATGGTCTTATCTCTCCTGGTTACAAAGCAGTTGAATAGCTTTGTTTTGGGGAAGGATTTTTGAAAAACTGTAGCAAGAGGACTTCTTGGAATAAAGACTTGGCTGGATCTAGTGTGGCTTAGGGGATAGGGCATTGGACAGAAGGAGGTCAAGAAAACCATGTTTTAATCATGGCTCTGCCAATGACCTTGAAATCCCTTCCCCACTCTGTGCGTCCATGTTCAACTCTCACTCTGTCTCGTTAGACTGTAAATTCTTTGGGGCAGAGCCTGAGGCTATCTTTTATGCTTACTGGGTACAATGCCTCGCATGCTGTAACTCCAAATTCAGTTGTGGCTTCTAGGGACTACCATAATACAAATCTTAGCAGAACTTTAGAAATGTGGAGCTAGAATAAGCTACTGAAACTCCTGCATTATCCTCAGTGTTCCTTTAATTAAGCATGCACTCTTTGTTTCCTTGCAGACTCTGTTTCATTGGCATCCAGCCTGCCAAATAAAACTTGGATGGCATTTATTCTCAAGGCGTTTTTCTCCTAGCTGCAGCATGTTACGATGTGTTCACAAGTCAAGTGTCTGTTTTAAATTAGAGAACTTTATTTTAATGAGAGTCTGAGGCTCTTAACAGAATGTAAAAACAAAGTCAAACTTGTTATGTTTAGCTGGTTTAACTGCTATTATTATTTTGTACTAGAGTAATGCCTACTGGCCTCAGCAAAGATCAGAGCCTTGGTTTTTTGTTCCTTGCACGAAATCTTACTATGTGGTCACTGGCCCTGAAGAATTTTACAGTCTAAGAAGACCAGATTGACAGAGTGAGAGAAAGGAAAATGTATTATCCCCATTTTAAAGATTTGGAATTGAGGTATAGGCTAGGTGACTTGCCCAAAGTAACACCATAAGTTTGTGGCTGAGCTGGGAACTGAATCCAGATATGTCCTACTCCAGTGCTTTAACCACAAGGCCATCTGCTCGATAGAAAGCAAATAAATTATCTTCTTAAGAAACATGACCCCCCCCCTGTTTTTTGCAGCTAAATTTTGGATGTTTTTCTTAAACAGCTCTTCTGGTGTCTCAGACCGGTTCACTCGAATCCTTAAGCATGTCCTAACACAGAGAAGGTAAGAACAGTTTCTGGATTTAGAGTTAATCAAAAATCCTTGTCCAAGTGAAAGTGCCTGACATTGGGCATTCTACTCTGGTGCCAGCATTTTGTGTAATCATTTACATAAGTGGAGAGTGGTATAAAAGTACCACCATTGTGACTCAGTAGTGTTCTATACCTGCCCTGGGCTGGTGTAGATGAACGCATAAGATTCATAGGCATTAAGGCCAGAAGGGACCATGATGATAATCAAATCTGACCTCCTACTTAATACAGGCAGACTTTCCCAATAATTTCTGCATTGATCCTATAACTTTTGCGCTAGAGCATATCTTTTTAGAAAGACATCCAGTCTTGATTGAACGACTGTTCCAAGCGATGGAGAATGCGAAGTCCCTGGTTAAGTTATTTCAGGAGTTAATTTTATGTTACTGTTGCAAATGTGTACCACATCTGTAGTCTGAATTTGTCTAGCTTCAATTTCCAGCCACTGGATTTTGTTCTGCCTGAGGCATAGTTATGGAGCATTAGGCTTTCAGTTTCATTTTTGAACAACTTTCTGCTTCTGTAAACAGAGGCACTACTCATAGCGCAACTCACTAGCCTTAAGATCCTGGAGAAATGGGGCTGATGCTTGTTCACCTGGCTGACAGCAGGTGAGGAGGATGGGGCAAAAAGATGGCTGTATTTAATTGTAATCAATAATTGATCCATACAGTTATTACCCACTCTACCCTCCCTCGGAAGAGATGAACATTGATTATGAGAACTTCTATAATTATGTACCTTGGCCAGTCACCCCGGATATCCTCATTACTCCATCTGAGCTGAGATATTTTGTTAAGGTAAGCTGGGAGCATAAAAACATTTTGTCTGGGATTTTCAGTGAGGCCTAGGGAGTTATACACATATTTGTCGCTGGAATTCATTGGGAAGTGGCTGCCTTTGAGAATCCTAGCCTCCGTAAGGAACTTGACCTACGAGAAGACCAAGATGAGAGGTAGGAATGGGGCTCTGATCTGTTAATGCCATTTCTGTGCTCTCAATGCCAAACATTGGATAGAATTTTCAATAGTGCCTAAGATCCATTTTGTAGAAGTGACAAAGTTGCATTGGTTTTCAGAAGTGTCCAGGACACTGAAGGATCTAAGTCACTTGGGTAATGGGTCTTAATCTCCTACTCATGAAAGCAGGTTTGAAAATTTTACTCAACTAATCTGTAAGAGTGGACTTGATCATGTTCCAGATCAGAATAGGCCCAGCCTATCTTCCTCTTTCATTTGACAAGCTAGTTTTTTTTTCTCATCCATAGATGAGAGAAAGTATTTATTACTGTAACTCCCTCTCTGATTGCAGAGAAGGGATTAGTTGTCACAGCAGTATCCCTAGCCTTCAGTGTACAGCCCTCTTCCGGCTTACGAACCGGTTACGGACCAAGCAATTGGTTGCAACTTGGTTTGTTCGTAAGTTGGACCCCATAGAATTACATGCGACTGCGCTGTTTGTAAGCGCGGATCACGTTCGTAACCTGGGGTCTGCCATTTACAACAGTTTTGCTTGTAACTGCAAACGGTCGTAAGTCAACCGTTCGCAACTCAGGGATGGGCTGTAAATGTTTTTGAGGTTGTGGAGTAACTTTTAAGGAGTTACAGTGGGAGCAATGAGAGCCTTGTTGCCTCCTTGCCTCTGAAATTAACCTCTAGACAGGTTAAAGAGCTTAGCAGGATTCCAAAAGGATTAGGGCATTTATGTGGATAGCAGGAATCCCTAGAGTTACAGAAGTAAGGATAAAAAAATAGCCAAACCTCCTGCAGCAGAACATAACCATCTCTAACTCCCCTTATGAGCAGATGATGCCATAATTACAGGGTTTCTTTCAGGTTTTTTTCTCTAAAGCTTTTGGTATTGGCAGTGTCAGATACTGTACTGGGTTAGAGGGATACACTGGTCTGATCCAGTCTGGCAGAGGAGCTGTTAAAAGCACAAAATCAGCCTTGTGGTTTGCAGCTGCTGTAGGGCTAAAATTGTTGAAATATTATTGGAATGCAGCAGCCCAACTGGAACTTGCTGTCTTGTGAGGCAGTATAGTTCAGTGGCTAGGGCTCTGAATCAGGAGTCCTAGGTCCTATTCCTGGCTCTACGACTGTCTTACTGACCCTGCTCAAGTCATTCTCCGTTCCCCTCCCCCCTTTTATTTAGATTGTTAGCTGTTTGGGCCAGTGAGAGACTGGGGGAGTGTCTAGACTACAGGGTTTTGTCGACAAAAGTGGCCTTTTGTCGACAAAACTATACCTGCGCCTACACTACCGCCGACTTCTGTTGACATAATGTCGACAGAACTTGGCAGTTTTGTTGATGGCGGTAAACCTCATTCTACGAGGAATAACGCCTTGTGTCGACAGAGTTCTGTCTACAGAAGGCTTTATTGCATCTACACTGTCCTTTGCGTCCACACTCTCATATCGACAAAGCAAAGCCTTTGTCAACAAAAGCCTGTAGTCTTGACGTACCCTGTTTCTCACTCCATTTCTCTGCAGCATTCAGTACTATGGGCCCTGCTCTCAGTGGAGGCACTTTGCTATTATAATTTAGTTTATATCACAGTAGCATCTGAAGAGGTGGAAATCACTTCAAATCAACCAATAGCTTTGAAATCTGAGGTGATTGCTTGTGACTGAATTCTTACCTGTTCTATGGCTACTTCATTATGTGCACTCTATCTCTCCACAGGATGTTTTAGGCTGTGTCTGTGTGAACCCAGGACGGCTCACCAAAGGCCAGGTGGGGGGGACCTACAGCCGCCTGTACATACAGAGGCATGATCCAGAGGAAGAACGAAAGAGTCCCTGCATTGCTGCCCAAGTTGTCAAAATCTAAAGAGACTCTCTGTACTCTGACCTTAAAGCAGAGTTGCTGACCTGGAGTTTGGTAGGGGTTCAACTCACCATGTTGGACTTCTGTTGGATTTGGTCAAAAGATGCCAGGGTGATCTGGTTAAGGTGCTCTGAGAGCAGTGAGATACCTTCCCTTTTCTCAGGACTGCTGCTTTTGAGAGTGCTGTGCATAGCAAATTAAACATTGTATTGAAGTTTTTTTATGAATCTTCAGCCTGTTGCAATCAAATACAAATCTTGTCAATGCAAGTTTATACCCAGAGCCCTGACTTGGATCAGCTTGTCTTCCATTGTAATTTGACAAGAAGAAAGTTGCCAGACCTTAAAAGTGAACTGCAATTAAAAAACACCTTGAGTTTTAAGAGTTCATGCTTACAGCTTTGTTTCTAAGCTGTCCCTTTAGTTTTGTCAGAATCAGCAGATGCTTCTGCTCAAGGTGAACCTGATGTTCTATTTTCAGATCCCACTGTAGTTGACACTGGATATTTGTGTCTGTTAGATAATATGGCCCTCAGCACCAGTGTACATCACAGCCATCTCCCTGTTTCACAGATAGGGAATTGAAATACAAGATAGATTGTGATTTGCCTCAGTTCACACAGCACGTAGCAGAGCCGGGAGGAGAAACCAGTTCTGAATCTCATTTTATTCCCTTATCCGTTATATCACTCTGCCTATCTTAGTTAATATCCAGACTTCCTGGACTAGGGATGTAAGTGACTAGTTGACCAACTGATAAGCTTATTTTTATCAGATAGTCAAGTAGTGACTCGACTAGTCTCTTCCCACCCTACCTTTGCTGCTTCTATCAGAGAGAGGCAACAAGGTGGCAGGGAGCAGGAGCCAGGGCTGGGAGAGTCATCTTAAAACCCCGTTCCCTCCCAGCACCGTTTCCATGGGGGGCAAAGGAGGCAGAGGCACAGCAGGGTAACAGTGCGAGCTGGGACTGACGCACTCCCCGCTTGCACCGGTTCCGACTGCTGTGCTTCTGCTTTTAAAATGTACAAGAGCAACACAGGGCTCCCCCTTATTGACTAATTGAGTAGTCAGTGGAAATTCCATCGACTATTCGATTAGCTGATTAATCAAAATGTAACATCCCTATCCTGGACCTCAGCCTGGAGCCAAATATCATGATACATTTCAATCTCTGGCATTATAAAATTACAGCAAATAAATTATTAAATTGGTCCCAATTCAACTGGAAAAAAAACTTATTTTTTCTACGTTGCACACAGACTGTCTCTCAGGTAGCCCTGTGGGGTCTGTCATACTTATGTAAAAGTATGAATTGCAGCAGCATTAGTAGGCCTGTCTGACTTGGAAAGGCAGATGTTACTTGTCCAAACCTGTGGACAATTGGCAGTTTAAAGCAAAGTGTGTGGCTGTGGGTAGGGAGGAGGTAACTTATCCAATTCTTCCACTCAGCTACCAGCTGGAGGAATTTAAACTCTGATCCTTGTACTGGTTAGTTCCAAAGTGCACTTGGATTGGACACTTCCTTTGGACTTGGATTGTTGTAAACTGGCTTGTCAATGGCTAAGTGCTATGTGATCTGCATTTCTATTGGACATTAATCAAAATACTGATATCCCATTAGACTGCAGCACTTGGATCTTCCCTAAAGCCTCTGAGCTGGTACTATATAATCTGCAGTATGTGAAACATTTCGATCCAACCTCCCATTTCTTTTTATTATTATGTTACAGAAGCAGCTAGAAGCCCTAGCCAAAATAGGAAGCTCGTTGTTATGTTTGGACCAATAGTGAGAGAATCCCTGCCCCAAAGAGCTTACCATCTAAATAGACAAGACAAACAAGGAAGGATCATTATTCTCAATGTATAAATGGAGAATCTGAGGCACAGATGTTACAAAGGAATTTTCTGGCAGAATGAGGACCCAGATTTTCCTGAATTCCAGCTGAAAGCTTTAACCACGTGCTATTCCTTTCTCTTTGATGAAGCTTTTTTCCTTGATGCCAAAGTACTAGCACAAATACACATGTAGCTCTTTGAGCTGCTTCTAAATCTCAGCCAGGAATCAAAATTAATTTGAGCCTCTTTTCATATGAAAAAACAGGACTGGACTAGTATTAGTGGGCCACACAGTCTATGTGTAACTTTAAAAAGTCTGTTTGTGTATGGGCATGGAGATCTCTCTCTAACACGCACAACAATCACCTATTTTACTACACTAACAGAGTGACTTATAGGCAATCTCTAATCTTTCCCAATTCTTAATTTATACAAAACCCATCTCACCATTCTTTCCTCTGCTTGCTCTAGAGTAGATTCCCCCCTCACGCACATGCATACAGACAAGTCCAACTCCCAAATGCACAGAGTAGACCGGTTCCCTCTCTAAGGCTGGTAATCTGCTTATCCATTCCACAGCCCTATTCTTTGTTTTGGTGGCACTGATGCTGGTGGCCAATGTTGAGCCAGCCAAATGCAGATGCTGCCAATTGGAAGTTATGTAAGTAAGGCCATTTGGGATGCTGTGAAGTGGGCAGGCAGAGTCAATGCATTAGAATGTCCCTAAGCTGCAGAAGAGCTCAGTGTAAGGGTACGTCTAGACTACAGGGTTTTGTCGACAGATTCTGTCAACAAAACTTCTGTCGACAAAGCGCATCTAGACTACATTCAGTTCTATCGACAAAGCAAGCTGCTTTGTCGACAAAACCCTGTAGTCTAGACATAACCCTACATGCAATAACACCTTCTGTTGACAGAACTCTGTCGACAGAAGGCATTATGCCTCGTAAAATGAGGTTTACCAGTGTCGACAAAACTGCTGAGTTCTGTCGACGTTATGTCGACAGAACTCAGCGGTAGTGTAGACGCAGGTATAGTTTTGTCAACAAAAGTCCACTTTTGTCGACAAAACTCTGTAGTCTAGACACACCCTTACTCACAAACTTGTGTCCACCAACCAAAGTTGGTCCATTAAAAAGTTACCTCACCGCTTTGGGTATGTCTACACTACCCCGCTAGTTCGAACTAGCGGGGTAGTGTAGACATACCCCCAGAGACAGCATGGACTAAGTCAAGAGACACACGCTGCTTCTTGTGCACAGAAGAGTTAATCTCTGTCTGGACGACAGTGTGAAGAGGAGAAGCTATAAATGCGGGAAGCTGTGGGCCTGACTCGAACTACGTAGCCATTCCGAACTATCTGTACTCCTCGTGGAATGAGGAGTACAGATAGTTCGGAATGGCTACGTAGTTCGAACTATCTAGCCTGTGCCGCGTGTAGCCGCGCGGCATGGGGTTCGCACTAGCCGGCTTTTAAAAATGGTGGCGCCGGCTTTATGCTAATGAAGCCCGGGAAATTCAAATCCCGGGCTTCATTAGCAAGTAGGGTATGTCTACACTACCCCGCTAGTTCGAACTAGCGGGGTAGTGTAGACATACCCTTTGTGTGTCTGACCTGAAATGATTAACTGCTTTTACCTAGAGTTGATTGGAGACCATGTCTGCAGGACTGCTGATTTCTAACTCTGTGAGCTGCAAGGCACAGGCGCCTGTTTTGGGAAGGCCCCTTTAAAACTTTTTATTAAGGGTATGTCTACACTACCCCGCTAGTTCGAACTAGCGGGGTAGTGTAGACATACCCTTTGTGTGTCTGACCTGAAATGATTAACTGCTTTTACCTAGAGTTGATTGGAGACCATGTCTGCAGGACTGCTGATTTCTAACTCTGTGAGCTGCAAGGCACAGGCGCCTGTTTTGGGAAGGCCCCTTTAAAACTTTTTATTATTGTTTGTATCCTAGTAGTACCTGCTCAGCTGAGGTCAGGGCACTGTAGTACCTCATGATGCAACACAGTGGGAGAGACTATCTCTGCCCTCAAGATATACATAGACAAAGAAGCAGGGTTATCCCTAATTTACAGATGGAGAACTGAGTTGCAATGAGATGAAGTTCCTGGCCCAAAGTCACACAGTGATGATAGCCGCTTCTAAGTCCCAATCTCATGCCTTGGTTTAATCTTAGTTCTTAACAAGGAGAAGGTTAAAGGATGTCTTGATTACAGGCTCTAAGTACAGACCAGGGGGAACAAATATTTAATAATGGATGCCTCAGTCTAGCAGTTAAAGATATAATCGAATCCAAGGGCTGAAAGCTGAAGCACAACATTCACACTGGAAATAATATGTAATTTTTTATCAGTGAGCGCAATTAAGTATAGCCCAAAGAGGTATTGTACTTGGCATGCACAGTAAAGCAATTTATTATCTGGATGTTTGCATGCCACTCATGATTAGAGCCCTGCGTGGATAAAAAATTTAATCCGCATCCATATTTGCAAAAATGAGCTGTGGATAACTGCATCCATATGCATGGATGTGAGTGTCTGTGGATATAAAGCAAATATCCACTGATTTTCAGGGCTCTACTCATGATGGGTGTTCATGATCCTACACAAGATGGGCTGCACTCTGTGACCATGTTAATTCTGCTATTCTAGGCTGTGTTTTCTCTCAAAGTACTCGGGATGGGTTGTTAGACTAGCAACAGTTGAGCTCTGTTGCCTGGAGACAGTTCAAAAGCAATTGGTGAAGGAACAAACAGGCACTTAAAGAAGATTTTTCAAATTCAAACTCTGCTTCAGGAACAAATACAGCCTATCACAGGAGCAGTGAGCAAACTGAGCCCACCCTGGGAACCTTCCACTCTCTCCTGCTTACCACTGGAACTAATGGATGGCAAATGCTCTGTCTTCAGTGTCTGCTTCACCTGCTTAATATTCTCGGTCTAGTTCCTTAGTGCTTTGTGCTGTCCCAGCAGCCCAGCTCTTTGGGGAGATGTTTCTGTCCCTCTGATGTTTCTGTCCTTCTGAGCTGAAATTCAGGAATAACAAAAATCTCAGGGCCAGATCCTCAGCTGATGTAACTAGTGCTCTTTGAATATAAACAGGCTCCCCTCGTTTACACCAGCTGAGTATCTGGTCTTCAGTTATAGTCTCCCCTCTCTTTTTGAAAGTCCATTGGATGTAGGAAAATCAGACTGTAAATTCCAGGACTCACAGAGCCTGATCTCAGCTCTACATCATGACCCTGAAGGCTGTATGGCTCTGTACCTCAATTTCCCATCTGTAAATGGGAAATAAGGATGCTTCCTTACAAAGAGATTGGAAGGAAGATGGAAAATTCCAAAATAGCTGAGTTATATGGGCCTGATCTATTCACAAGTATTCCTTTATAACTATAGTGGTGGTTGTTGGTATCACAGAGACATGGTGGGAAAATATAAAATTGGAATATTGGTATAAAGGGTATAGCTTGCTCAGGAAGGATAGGCAGGGGAAAAAAGGAGGCGGTGTTGCCTTGTATATTAAAAATGAATACACTTGGACTCGTGTGGATATGAACATAGGAGACAGACTTGTTAAGAGTTTCTGGGTTAGGTTAAAAGGGGTAAAAAACAAGGGTGATGTCATGGTGAGGGTCTACTACAGACAACCTACCCAGGCAGAAGAGGTGTCTGAGGTTTATTTTAAACAACTAACAAAATCATCCAAAGTGCAGGTGATGGGGGATTTCAACTACCCAGACATATGTTGGGAAACTAACACAAGGCACAGATTATCCAATAAATTTTTGGACTACATTGGAGACAATTTTTTATTTCTGAAGGTTGAGAAAAGCTACTGGGGGGAATCTGTTCTTGATTTGATTTTAACAAATAGGGAGGAACTGGTTGAGAATTTGGAAATGGAAGGCG